TTCAACAAACCATTCTCATAAAACCATCACTATATGTGATAAAAATGAATACAAACCTTTTGTAGGTATAAAACTTTTATTTGTAAAATTTGGTTATTCATAATGAAAGAATGAATAAATTCAAAATCAAGGAATTAAACATATCCCCCGGTTAATAAAATAATATTACTAAGACAGGGACGTTTCAACTGGCGCCATGATCAGGTTCTACGTGAAATCATGAAGACTGTTTCATCACAGATTGACGAGTTTAATTCCGACATCGCCAAGGAATCGAAGAGGGCACCGTCGGTCTTTCACAAGGCAGGCAATAAGCGCGAGAAGGTTACCTTAGCTGACCCAACGACTGGAAGATAATATTTGATGAGGATGAGAGACAGAGGAACTTCCCGCAGCACATTGCAGCTACACCACTAAGACCTGATGTAGTGATCTATTCAGATAAAGCAAAGAAGGTTTATCTAATGGAGCTGACCTGTGGAGTGTGGAAATGAGCAGAACTTTGCTGATCAAGAGAAGCGAAAGATGAAGAGATATCAGCAGCTGACAGAAGAGATAGAAGCCAACGGATGGGCTTGCAAGCTCCAGACAGTAGAAGTGGGAGCTCGAGGCATTTACAACTATTATAGCCTCCCAACATTTATGAACCACCTGAACGTAAAGAACAAAGAGAAGAAGAAGGCCTGCATGAAGATCGCTGAGATCAGCCTGAGGGAATCGTATACCATCTATTTGTCCAGAAACACTACCATATGGACAGATGATTGGGAGTTAGTCAAGAGACCAGTAATAGCATAGTAGGAGCGTAGAATGTTTGGGCCCAGAAAAACATGTTTAATACCGCTATGAACCCGTCATAAGCCGGGGACTAGTGACTACTATGAAAGTGATGATGCTGTGTTGTTGAAAGACCTTCGACCAATCAAAGATGTACCTCATCACGCCAAGCAGTTATGCTTGTAGGTGAATATACACATATAGAGTACAACAACTTTATAACACTCCACAGTGACAAGGTAAATCAAACTACCCCAGCCCATTTGTATAATAATATAAATAGATTTTTCATGATTTAACTGAAAATTGCCGCACGAAACAAAAAATTCCGTGTTCAAACTATAACCTAGTTAGAAATATTTAACAATGAAATACAAGAGTTGATCAGACTGCTGTGCTTAAATTAAGTGCACAAACGGAAACATGCAACTGATTTTAATCAACAACAAAATCAGTAAAATCTTTCCAGTGCACCCTTGCGAGATTTTCCTTTGGAATTCTTTACCAAGTTGTTCACAGTTACACTGGTCACTGATGCTACTGAGACTGGGTCTCTTGCTGCTCCTTCATAGTACGCCCGTGTGCCAAATTTGAACTTGCGTAACGCAACATTACCGTGAGGATCTTGTCGTCTGTCCAGATATGGAACGCCAACTTGGTTCATAGTGTCTGCAACTTTCTGAACAAACTGGCGGTTGTTACCAATAGGTGGTCCATTTCTCTTGACGAACATCTCCTTCTGTAGTCTAAGATCGTCGTTGTGGGGTCCAGCATTAGTGTACCGGTTGCTATGGTACATCTCCATCTCTGAACCGAGTGTCTCAAACAAAGCTTCAGACACTGCAGCTGTCAGGAGTACCGTCAACAGATGAAGCATACCAGGACAGACCATAGATCTCAACTGTTGAGTAATAAGTAGCTTCTTGCAGTAGTGTTGAAGACTACATGTCACGCCTTGTAGTGTCCGATCTCTATCCACCTCGTCTTTTGCTTTCTTCAACTGGAGAACGAGCATCGAAAAAGAAGCATCGTTAACTTGATTTGGGTCACGACTAAGTCTCTGAAGAGGGCCCAACTCGACCACCTTGACAGTTGTGAAAGCTGCCCCCAAGCTAGGAATATCTGTGAACTGTGCACCTAAGCATTGACCCTGACCATGACGATTGAGCTGTCTAGTATTGTCAGGCACATATGCATGACATAAGCTACACCGTTTGTTTTCTGGTATCAATACATCGACGTAGTCAATGTTCAGCTCAGCTTCTAGCTTGTTGAGGAAGTGTCCAGCAGCTGGTAGACGTGTTGCTGACTCTCGCCACCACTTGGTATTGGAATACCAATAATACCGGATGACAGCTCTCATTCTAACGATCATGTCCTGATGGCGTCTGTTTAATTCCAACATTTCTCTGTGCAGATCTTGTTGCGACGAGAGAGAACTTGTCGGTCTTTGTCTTGTCCCGCGACCAGGTGGGACGTATGCTCGACGAGATAGTAGGTCGAGATAGTCCCTGAACACATACTGGCATGCTGGTGAAACAGCATGTGTTCCATCTTGGAGGACACTCAGATGGTCGATCACAGACACAAGAAGTTCTTGCGTGTTCACGTAGGAATTGATCAGTCCCTGATCATCCTGGAACTTTAAAGAACAGCGCTTTAAGATCCTCGTCAGGCCACGCAGGAAGTGCACTGACATCAAGATGTCACTTCTTAACATGTTGTTAAGATGTCCCTGTGCCTTTGCCTGCGTATCCTGGTTAGTGTGGTTGGCAGCTATCTCATTGAGTGCCGCCTCATAAATGCTAAAATTTTTGATGTAGTCATCTAAAAGGTCGGCACCATGAGCCACAAACTTAAGGTCTTTCAGGGCTTTGGGCGAATAGAGCCTCTTGCACAGAGCCTGGGCGGCAGGAAGCAGGTACTCGTAGACCTCCGAATCCCGGAAAAAAACCGATACGTCATGCACGTGCTTCTTTACGGTCTGGAGATCCGAAAATTCTTTAAGACACTTCTTCAGGACCAATTCGAGGAGATGCGATGGGTCCCAGACTTGCATCTTTGTAACCTTTGTGTTGTTAACTACCGCAGGTGGAGGGTCCAGTTGCTGGAAGATGGCTTCCACAACCTGCGGAGATATTTAATAAAATAAAGCTTTTGATTTTAATGTATTATGTATGTATTATTATAGGAATGATCAATCATACATAAAACTAAAAGTTGGACGGATACTTTTACCACTTTAAATACATTTATACTGATATCAGAACGCAATTTTTATATAGGTCATTACCTTGCAGACGAGAAGTTGGCCATCGTAACATCCACCAGACATTGAAGATTTGACGATGGCGCGGTCAAATCCAAATTCCTCTAGTGTCGTCAAGATCGTACGTGCCATTCCCTGACCAGTGTTATCTACACTAGCTGGAGAGCCAATGTACAATGACATGATCAGCGGCAAGGTCAGATTATCATCAAGCGATAGCATTCGGACTGCAAGAACCATGCGTTTCCTGAAATGGGTTTCTGAATCATTCCATTGATTCATTTCAAGGGTACCGCGAAAATTGACCCCCAACAATTGACCCCCAACAATTGACCCCCAACAATTGACCCCCAACAATTGACCCCCTATGTAATTACACTGGGGTCAATTGAACGGGTTACAGTCAGGGTCAGGGTCAGGGTCAGGGGGGTCGGGGGGGGGGGGGGGGGTCAATTATTGGGGGTAAATTGTCGCCCACCCTTTTCGAGAGCGTTTCAAATAGGAATAAAAACCGCAAAAATTCCACAACATTTTAAATTGCTGACAAATAGGAGAAAACTCATCAGATTATTGGTCTACCTATAATGTGCGTTTGTCAATTATTGCTTATTTGATATTTTAAAATATTGCGGTCAAAACGTCCGGTTCAATTTTCTACAGAATTCTTTGTCAAATTTTAATATTTGGACTGGTTTCATAAGTATCTCGAAAACACCCTGTACAGTGTATAATCTATATTTTTCAATATACATAATATGTTATAGATTTTACCTCATCTTTGATTGATCTTTATCGCAAGTGATGAAAAGGGGGAGCGGGAATCCAACCAAAGTCGACCTTGCAGCTTCCAGAACTTTCTCCCGCAAGATTAGGAAGGCAGTGTCAACGATATAAGGGACAATTTCGGACGAGTGGTCCTGATTTCCCATCATCACTCCCTCCTGAATCCTCGCTGCTATCACTTGAGGAAATGATCTGAAACAAAACATGGCTGATTAGGCTGCATTATTCGGGTATTCTATCACAATTTCGCAACCGACTTCTAAACATGTAATCCTGAATCTACCAACGTCTGGTGATCTTGGTTGAGGGAATAAGTTGAGCGAAAAAACACTGAATGCTTTTAATTTTTATAGACATACCTGTGCGAGTGATTAAGCATGATTCCTGTTATACCCACGTTTACTATTCTGAATCGGATAGTAGCCTTCATATTGGTCACTACAGGGTTCACGCTCCTTACTTCCTCCACAAACGTTACATGGCTCGAGTCCTCAATACGGTCTCTCAGACTCTTATTCATTTTGATCCACTTCCTTGATCTAAAGAATGAATGGAACGTATTAATGTTGCAAGAATTTTTCAGTATCAACTTACTATTAATTTTAGATACAACAGCATAAAATATTTGTCACCTAATAGTCTTTAACTTGGTAACAGTTGCCCATGTAAAAGGAATGACGCGTGTTTTGTGACATGGTGATGACTTACTTGTTGGCTTGATTGGGAGGTAGATCATGGTACACTTGTACCCCCCAACCTTTGTGGGACCCCACTGGTTGTTTCTCTTTACATATCCGACATACCACTTTTGAACCCTCAACCTAAATTCAAAATGTTAATGTCAATTTTGAATAGTTTTCAACAATATTTAATCTTTTGTGAGTTTTCGACTTTTAATAGATAATAATTATATTATAGTTTTTTGAGTCCACATTGGCTGGTACTTCGGCCAGTCCCCAACAAAAAAAGAGTCATTTAAATTCCTCTAATTTGTCATAAGAAATATGTTCTTACCCTAAAGTACGCAGGAGGTTGAACATTGCATATTTGTTGCAGAGAAGTAGCATTCATCAAACAGCTTTGAACATGTGTTAACGTTAGGAGTGGCGGAAGTGGTGCTGCATGAGCAGGGGTTACGAGTGCTGGTGCTGTCTGTAGCAGAAACAGCTGCCTATCCCTGCTTTGATTGGCTTGAGGTAATTGTGCACCAACAGCAGGTTGTTGTGCACCAACAGCAGGTTGTTGTGCACCAACAGGAGGTAATTGTGCACCAACAGCAGGTTGTTGTGCACCAACAGCAGGTTGTTGTGCAACAACAGGAGGTTGTTGGACAACAACAGCAGGTTGTTGTGCACCAACAGCAGGTTGTTGTGCACCAACAGGAGGTAATTGTGCAATGTGCACCAACAGGAGGTTGTTGGACAACAACAGGAGGTTGTTGGGCAACAACAGCAGGTTGTTGGACAACAACAGGAGGTTGTTGGACAACAAAAGGAGTAGGTCGGGAACCAGAAGGCTGGATACCGAGTGAAGGAGGTTGGAGGTTCATAGGAGGAGGTTGGGAACCTACTTGAGGTCGTGCTGGCCCCGAATTTAGTAGGATTGCTTCTTTTAGGATACCATCCATTGCAGATCTCTCGTCCTGATTTTAAATTTTGTCATTTTCAACACAGAAATGTCATAACAGTTGTAATTTGTATGATTGAAATTGTTTGCCTAGTGAAAAATCAACTTAACCAAGAACACGCTACACAGTACATAGGTACATGATGTTTGATCCAGAAGAGATGTTCCGAGTAAAAAGAAAGAAGCCGGCTTTAACACTATTTTCATGTAAACTTGGACGGCATTTCCCTATGATTATTGTCTAAGCCTCTAGGGGTCGTTCACATATTACGAAATCAGCAGAGGGGAGTTTCCAAATGATTACGCTAGTGTAATTCTGAAACAATAGCTTAAGCTATGTGTAAAACTGATTACATAGGGAGGGATTTGTCCAAAAATTGATTACGTAATGTGAGAACGACCCCTAGACAATAATTAAAGACCCCCTAGAACCCCCAGTTCAACAACTTATGGAAGGCGCAAACTTAATATTATGGTAAAAAAGAAAATTAATCATCTACGTTGACATGACAGGAATGGTCCGCGCGCAGTTGTCATCAATCCCGTCCTCCTAATCTTTAAACCTATGACTTACTTTTATCTGCGACTGTAGCTTGTGGGATAGTGATTTTAGTTCAATCCTTTGAGCCGAGGAGGACTGGCCCTCCGCAATTCCCTCAGCAAGTGTAATCATAGCTACCACAAGGTCGTCTACTGACTTTGGAGGTCTCAGCATTTTCCTTTTCCCACTCTTCTGGCGCTGAAAGATATTGTAGAGTTGCTTTGCAGGAATTTACATTAATAAAACACCATCATTCTCAGAAACGATCAATTTAGCTGATTTCTATTTATCACCACAAGAAGTGCTTTAATTTTATAATTTGTCGGCATTTCAGTAAACTAGAGCATGGATGAATACAGATGAGCAAACGCTAGCATTATCATAAACTTTTATAAGCTTAAAGCTTATTCGCTAACATTATATTTCTCGCCTCGTCAGGGTAAAGATGTAGCTTGCGGGTAAGTTCAATTTAAAGCTATCAAAACCATGAAAACAGAAATAACGTAAATTATGTACAGTATAAATATTTAAAAATTAAAATCCGTACTGTAAAAACCTGTTATAAAATCATATACAATGATTTTTTCATCTCTTAAACATTCTGTAGTACGTTTGCCCTCGCTTATCTATGTAGATAACAGTTAAATTGCACTTGCTTGTGGCACGGACTGTGGTAACTACCTATCTACCAACCAACGACTGACAGACTGAGGCTAAGCGGTACGGGAATCAGAACCGTCCAATACAAAAAGCTGCTAAAAACTTTTGTTTAAAGTAAGTGATATGACAGGATTAGAAGATAGATTGATCGGTGGATTCTCCCCATTTACCTGCCTAGAGCTAATTGATAAGTTAACCGAAGAACAGATCATGAGGGAGAGCGACCTCATATTAGATCCTGATATCGTTAGCAAGCTACCTCGTAGAACCCGTAGCGACAAGGGAATTAATGGGGCTCGGGACGCCCTGAGAGGTCACTTTCAGCTTTTAGTTGGCCAAGAACAAGATGGTTTATTGAATCTTTTATTTAACACTGTCAATAATCTAACTGACATGATTACGAGGCACACTGAAGACTCAACAAAACGTGTGGAAAGCGCAAGAAAGCAGTTTGAAGAACTCCAGAAAGACATCGCCCAAGGACAAACGCTCGCTTCAACTACTACTGGAGCTACGAACACACGCTGCAGTCCTCCGCTGATCCCTTCCACTCCTCCTAGCCAACGTCCACATGGTAACATTACAGACTCAGAACCAGGTACATTACCATTTGAGACACTTGATGGTTCCTGTTTTGAAACATTTTCGACTTCTTTACTGAACGATGACGTTATATATGACCGCACTTTTCCTAATAGACGTGTTGCATACTATGGTCAGTTTTCTTATCGCTATTCCGGCGGTCTCCATCCAGCTAGAGACGTGCCTGAATCATCTTATTTGAGTGGAATTATCAAGGTACTTAAGACCCGTCACCCAGAATTTAATTTCAACTCTGTCATGGTCACTTCCTATGATGCTCCCCACTCGTGCATCCCACCCCACTCAGACAACGAAGCCAGTATCTCAAGAGATAGTAACATCATCACTCTGTCACTTGGCTCTCTAGAGAGGTGGTATTTCGGAGGAAGATCCCTGGTAAGTACAAGAAGGTGACTTTTACTGCTACTCATGCTTCACTCTATGCGATGTCAAGACGTAGCCAAGATGAATGGGATCACTCCGTTCCAACGACATCTGTGGAGAATTTTGAGGGGCCACGAATGAGTATTACGTTCAGACTGCTAGAGGACCCCGGACCAAACAAGAGGAACAGACGACACCAAGGACGCTTAATGTCACCAGGTCTGTCATCACCGCACCATGAGGATCACCTAACCCCGCAACGACATCTGCGAGTTCTCATTTTGTCTGACTCTAAGAATCGCACCTTTGACTGTTCACTTCTCAAAGAGCCGATCATCGCATTCAGAGAAGACCTATTCCATCTGAGAGACTTAGCTCAACACCAAGCATTAATTGAACAGTCCGATCTAGTCCTGATAAGTGCCGGAGTGAATGATCTCAGATACGGTCGAACTGATCCCATGAATTTGCACAACCACCTAAAGCATTTCACAAGTAAATTCAGAACGGAATTCATTTTTGACGCTATCACACCTCTTAACCTGAGTGCAGACCCCTATTTTGAGCTGAACGACAGAATTGACAACCTGAACGAACTGCTTCTCCACCTTTCTCTACGTTCGGCCAATTTTCACCTGTTTGACAACCTGAATTTTGGTCTGCCTCACCTCGCACGAGACGGCCTCCACCTAAACAACACTGGGAAATCTATAGTAACTGCATGCTGGGTAGACACTATTCTAATAAGCCTAGGGTTTCGTAAAGGATCATTACCCCTAAGACGTCCATTTTTAGATTTATACTATGACTATATGAACAGTTTCGGTTTCGGTTTCGGATGAGAATTGAATAAATAAAACTATTGTCAATACCAATACTAAACAAAAAGACTGATCTGCAAACATATTTCAAACCAAGTCAACGTAGCACGGCAAATTTAAAACCTAATCAGTAATTACAGTCCCCTATGTAACATTATTGGTAATAAACACTTAAACACTTAAAATCGAAATTTTGATACACTATCTACACAATAAAATTTATTAATATCAATTTTTCTTTATTCAGTTTTTATTTCATTTATTTAATCTGTTTTCAACTCTTACTTTATTCTGTCACTGAAAGTGGAGCGAAGTAATCATAGGCAACACGGCTCACAGCCCAATTGCGACAAATGCTATATTCGTATCCCTAAAAGTTCTCCTGACCTAATTTGTGACCTATGTGCTGAACGTAAACATTTAAAATGCCAGAAACTATCAAAAAACGATGCCCGGCACATTATAAATTCTGGGAACCCATGGTTCTGCTATGAATGCATAAGCTCAATTCTCCCAATCAATGCCTCTGATGTCCCGACGAATAAAAAAAGTAGTGTTAACAAGACCAATTTTAAAACAAAGTGCATGGCCTGTAACGGGTTTTGTTATTCTAGATTAAACATTAGGTTTTGTCCATGGTGCGATGAGTACATTCATAAAAAGTGTTTTAGAGATAATTTAGGCTGCATAAAGTGCTGTGAGTCGTTAATCCCAGGTTATTATGTGACATCTTATGATCTTTTTATGAACTGTAGCAGCCGAATCACTGCTCTTTTCAATCCATACGACCGCTCACATGGTTTAGATTTGATCGGTAACGCTTTAGATCAGGATAACGATGAAAGTTACCAATACTGGAACGAAATCAGCGATATATTAACCAATTGTAAGTATCAGCAGCCATCGAACATTAAAAGTTCCTCCCGTGATGAACTGAAAGTGTTTTCTCTTAATGTGCGATCATTAGTAAAGAACATCACATACTTCCATGAAGAAATCGACAGTTATACTAAGTATGACGTTTTGTGTCTTAACGAAACCAATTTGAAGTTAGATAAATTACCAAACGGAATCTCTGACATTAAAATCGAAGGGTTTCACGAGCCTATTGTTCAGGAACCATTTCGCAAATCAGGAAAAGGTGGTGGCCTTGTAATTTACATTAATAAGAGGGTTTGTGATCCCGAAAATATAGAAAATCTTGAGGCAACCACAGATCCTGAAGACACATGCGCTGAATTTCAATTAGTTAAGGTGCATAATTGCAAAGGCACAAACCAAACAAAAGTACTGATAAACTTTTACAGGTCCCCATCTAAAGGTACTCAGAACTTCTTAAATTCTTTGGAAAAGGTGCTACGAGGTCTTGACAGACATTCTCGCAAGCATATAATGTTTTTTGGGGACGCGAACATTGATCATATAAAATTCAAAACTGATATTTCTGGACAGAACCTCATAGACCTCCTTGCCAAGTATGGATTTGTTCAGACGGTTTCAAGGCCGACACGAGTCACCGATCATAGTGCTACCTTAATTGATCATGTCTACACAAATAATATAAATAACACAGTAAGCAGTAACGTTGTAACGGTGGATTTATCGGATCATCTTGCTATCGTTACCACTTTTAAACTAAGTAACTCTTCGCAACAACATCTCAGGCTACCCACTAACACACAACCTAAACTTAGTTATGAAACACGTGTCATAAATGAAGCCAACAATGCTGCTTTTAGGGAACTCATCGATGGGGAAACGTGGGACGAGATATTAAGTACAGACGACGCTAGTCTGCAATACGGAAAACTTGCAGATATATACACCAAGCACTATAACACTGCCTATCCACTAAAAATCAATCATATTCGCCGTGAACATGAGCGTTCTAATACTAAACCCTGGATATTACCCTGGCTTGAAGAAGCATGTGCGCGGAAACAAGAAAGTTATCATAGTAAAGTACTTGAACCTACAATGAATAATATAGAGGCCTATAAAAAGCTAAAACTT